GTTGATATTTATATGGAAACGATGCTGAATGCCAATTATTTCTTTCTACAAGAAACCAAAGTTGTAACAACACTGTCAAAACATTGGAAAACTGTGCTAGCTAATAATTTCATATTATCAGTAAAGACACTTTAGTCTGACAGAATGATCTCAGGTAGAGAAAACTCTCTGAAGGTCATTGCTCTTTTTTCTGGGTGAAAATTATTTTATTGGAATAAAACCTGCAAGTCCAGAGTGAAGTGCATGTAACAAGCTTATTTCAGAGAGATAAAATTGCAGCAAACTTGTCAAGTACAGAGGGAAACGTCTCAGGCTGCAGTTTAACCCCCATTTATGCCTGCATAAAAGCAACTGCCACCCAAGGGGACAGCCCCATCTCTCCCCGTCCTGTGCCACCTTCCCGGGCAGGCATGGATGTGCACATGGGGAACTGGGCCAGGGAATGTCCTCTGGTGATGGGAAACTAATCGTATAATTAATGTTATTGCCATTGCTTGCGGCAAGCATGCTGCAGCGACCTGCTCTGCAAGGACCTCGGGGTTGCACAGAGACACTCGACTCCTGCCCAGCCACAAATGTGCTTATAATCCATCCTTGGGGTCACGACGTTGGGGTCAGTGGAAATTAAACTCATCAGCCAACCTGCTCTTACAAAAAAGACCATTGGAAAATGTATGAGAGTGTGCTGGCGATGAGCCCTGTGAGCCCCAGAGCCGTACAGACCTCTACCTCCACAAATCCCAAAGACATCCAGAAAGAGGAAAAACAAAAAAGGAGGAAACTATCAGACTGAAAAAATCCAACCACAAGATCACACCCTGAAGCCTAGAGGTGCCATCAATACAATGCTGTATACTTAAGCAAGTTTCCAGGTCATCATTTCACCCTCCTGGGTTCTTAATTTCAAATGTTGTTTCAACGATTGTTGCTGTGAAAGAGCAGCCAGCTTCCCGAGACCAAGAAACCTTCAGGCAGGTTGCATTTGGTAGAGATTTTTTTAAGACTAGCAGGGAGAACAGGACACCCAGTAGTACTGGTACCAAATAAAATACCAATGGTTATGGGGACATGGCAAAACAACTGCCCTGCACGCACAGAAGTGTTTGGTGCCCAGTTCCATTGACTTGTAATGACGGTTGAGGTCTACTATCTGGTTTGGCCATAGGCTTCCAGATGACTACAGGAATGTGTGTGGCACCGTGGGGGGGACATACGTCACGTCTGTGCCCTCTTCAGCTGCCCAGTGCACCCTGGACAGCAGGACCATACCCTGCAAAGTGATGGTTGTGATAATGCAACACTGAGCCTCAGCCACCAACCCCCGTCCCCGGCTTTGGTGTCACGGGCTGCTGCTCCTGGACCACAACCAACTCACAACCAGGTATAGCCAGAGATAGCGGTGGCATACAGGACTTTCTGTGTTTGGACCTACAGACACACCTTACTATATTTTTCCTCTTCTAGGCCTGTATGCCCTGCATAAATCCCAGGCTCTCTACCCCTTGAAAAGTTGGCTTTGAAAGACATAGTCGGGGATGAACCCTGCCACGTTTCCTTTGCTCAGCTAGCTCTGGTTGACAGGCAGATTTTTGTGTCATCTCTGCATGGGTTCAGTACACAAACAGCCTGGGAGCTCTCTTCCAGAAGGGTATGGCCTCATTACACCCGTAAAAATGAGAGGCTGGTTCCAGGGGAGGCAGTGCTGGTCTCCTCCCTCACCACCTCCCACCCTCCCTCTCGCCTCCCCCCGCGCCAGCTCACCCGACCACAACTCTGTCTGACGAGCTGGATCAGTCATTTGATCTGATAAAAACTCAAAAAGGGAATCTTAATTTAAAAAAAAAAAAAAAAAAAAAAAAAATTAAAAAGCAGCTCCTGCTAGATCCAACTGAAATATGGGGGCATGGATGGGCTGTGCACAGTGGCAGAGCAGGCAGTGACACTGCTGCCTGTGCCCACAGCCTCCCTTGCACCCAGTTATAATGTGAAACGGCATCCTCACGTCGCTGGGATTTTGATGTCCACTTCTCATCTCAATAAATTAAACAGTGCTTGCATCACCTACCTGGACTACAGCTATATTTTAATTTCATTTTACTTTTGTTTTCTAAAACAGGATACAAAGCCCTTCCTTGCTTTAAAAACATATTTTTCATGTTAAAATGGCTTTTCCAGAGAATACAGAATAATGATGACAACAAAGGATAACTTCTCTTCCATCCAGCTTTAGGGACAGGCAGAAGGGAAGGAGAAGGCTGTGACCCTGGTGTCATCAGCAGAGACATCAGAAAGATACAGGCAGCCAGTGCCCTTGGTGAGCACCATTAGGAAGCCCTCATCTCTTCTGCGAGAGTGGTTGCAACTAGAAAAATTTGGGAGCATCTCTAGGAAATAAAGATTCCCCCCACTCTGGAACTCATTACTGATCCTAATCCTTCTGCATAATAGTATCCACCAGAAACAGTCCTAAAATACCGATTGTCAGGACTGAGAGCAAACTAAATCTGCTCGGTACACTCCTACACAGCCCTCTGACTGCTGCCTACACAGTTGTGCTTTATCAGGAATCTAGGGTTTCCATTATTAATTACAGTTATGCTTAAATAACAGATATGTGACACTTCTGTCATTATAAAAATATTAAGAACCCACAAACAGAAAATTAAATGTGTCTACATGAAGGCAGATGAGTTACAGAAACAAAAGATTCTCTTTAGACAAATCTGTCTTTAATGACCAACCATTGAAAGAGGGAAATAGTAATTAACTTGAATAATTAATGAATATATTTGAGTGTTATGATTTTATTACTCATTAAACAAGCACAAAGATTAATCTTTAATTACAATTTAAGGAGAAATAGGTTTAACCTTTCATTTTTCTGTTTAGAAAAGTATTTGCAGAGTGGTTTGGGAGACTTTCAAAGATGACTATAAAAAGGGGGGATATATACAGACAGGGGGATCAATACACCCTCAGCAAGTTTGCCAACAGCACCGAGCTGTGTGGCATGGTGACACACTGGAGGGAAGGGATACCACAGGGTTTGTTCACCCCAGGGAGGGTAGGGCTCCAGTTACCCCTGGGGGCACCACTTCTGCTTTGAATCTGATCCAGTGTGACTGTATCTGGGAAGAGGGATGGGGAGAAAAGGGATTGGGGAGTGGAATAATCACGGCTAATTTCTTACCTTAACTATGGGAAAATAGTCCTGATCAAATCTTATCTCTTTTGAATTCCTGCAGCTTCCTTACCCTCTTGGTGATGACACTGAAAAGACGGTCACCTGCCACATTCCCCCCGGGTATCATCTTCAGTGGAAACGAAAATCCAAACCCTAGTATGATTATTGCAATGGCATTTTGTGATAGGACAAAGGGGTAACAATTTATAATTGACAGAGGGCAGATTTAGGTGAGATCTAAGGCAGAAATTGTTCCCTGTGCGGGGGGTGAGGCGCTGGCCCAGGGTGCCCAGAGCAGCTGTGGCTGCCCCCTCCCTGGAAGGGTTCAAGGCCAGGTTGGACGGGGCTGGGAGCCCCCTGGGCTGGGGGAAGGGGGCCCTGCCTGGGGCAGGGGGTGCCACTGGGGGGGCTTTGAGGTCCCTTCCAACCCAAACCATTCTGTGATTCTATGACTTGCCACTTCTGTGATATATGACAAACTCCTGTCCTGTGCCCCTGCCTGCTGGGAGGGCTTGCTGGTGCTGGCACAGAGCCCCCAAACCACAGAGCAGTGCGGCCCCAAGAGATCTGAACCCAAGTCAATTAACTTGAATAACCGAAGTGGTGAATTAGTTTTATCGACTCTTTAAAACATAACTCATGTTTTGTGCTTTGTTTACCTATGCTTATTTAGCTCTTACTATAAAAAATCAATGAGTGTCTGATGTAAGGTGTCATACCACAGCAAACGGCACAGATGTCGCAATAGAAATTGGTACTCTCCAGTGCCAAGCATGCCCAGAGCCCCAAGGTGGGGACTGAGCCCAGCTTTCCTGCACTCAATCTCATTCCCCAGGAAGCAAAAAATATATGTTTCCCAGTTTGGGGACATCAAAGGTTTTCTTTCCTTGCTTCCTTCAGTTGACCCATATAGCTGTTTAATGTTTCATTTGATTTTCTTTTCAGTAGAATAATGTGTCTTCAAACAGCCACCAATTGAAAACTAAAATGTGTTGGTCTTTTAAAGAGAAATGCCAATCAGTCAAATAAATCTTTTTCTTTAGTCAACTGAATTAAGTAACAGCCAGATGGCAATTAAAAAAAAAAAAAAAAAAAAAAAAAAAAAAGTAATTTGTTTAACATATTGTGCCTAGATAATATTTACAGATTTGTTATTTGAAGGGAGCTGTGAGGGAGTTTCTTGGAGAGTGCCATTTTACTTGTTGGCTACTGAGTCTGTTTACCACTGGGGTAATAAAAAACCTAATCAACTTGAATTTGGAAATCACAGAGTTCAGATGCACTGATTTAGCAGCTTTGCATACAGCTGCTGGGCAGACAAGCGTTCTTTCACAGCTAGCTCCCTGCTGAGGGCTTCACGAGTCAAGTGGCAAGTCTGCACCTGAGGCTGCTGAGAAGACTGGATTGGGCCTCCCACTCCCAAAATTCCATCTGTGCCCCTACCTCTTGCCACTTCTCTCCCCAGAGTGGCCTAGTTGTGAGAGGTATGAAATGCCATTTATTGCTATCACCACTACAACTAGCAGCAACCTGCATCACGGTGAAGAACAAGATTGCCCGTGACAATGACAAAAAGTCTCCACGAATGTCTCCTTCTGCTGCCACAGACCACAGAAAAGACCTCATCCCCACTAACCCATCTCTGAGCTTCAGAGATTTTCTGCTTTGAGCATTAGGACAGACGCTGAAGAGCTGGTGGGTGAAACAGGAGCAGCGGGTCTCATGTTTTTTCCACAAAGTTAGGATGGAAACACTGTACACGTGGCAAGATTTCAAAGGCAGCTACAGACCTGTTGCTGGCCGCAGTTCAACTTACCACTGAGAGGGTGAGGAATGGTGTATTGCTTTTTTTTGCTTGAAGTGGATGTTGAGGAAAGCTTGCGAACAAGTGCTTCTTGGGTGCTTGCAGGAGCATCGCTCTGCTGAGCTTTCCTCAGCTGGACCATATGTTCGAGCCTCTTCAGCCTTTCTTGTGAACGAGAGATGAACTGAGGCTTATGGATCTCTAGTGCTTCCTAAATGAAACAGAGAAACTGCTTTGTTTTAAAAGAATTAAAAGGAAGAAAGAAATGTGATATGCATCTAACTGGCTTCAGTAAGAGATTATCACTGAAGATGATTGCTTGTCTGCCTTCCTATCTGTCTTTACCTCCTTTTACTCTTAGAAAGCTGACTTGGTGTGAAATTTCCAGATCAGACAAAGGAGAATTTCTGAAAAAAAAAACCCCAACTTTCAGAAAACATATCCAAAAGGTTTTGAATTACATACTTTTATAAGTGAGCCAAATTCAAGTTCTTGATGTTTTGCCTATTTCCTTGTCTCACCCCATCGCCGAAGCAGCTTGTCACTGACAGTTCGCAAACTTTCCTGTTTATTTAGATTGTCATGCAGATCTATTCATGGATGATCCAGAAAGAAAACGCTTTCCAGTCAAAGTCTGCTTCAACATTTAGGAATGTCTTGGGACAGAAGACAGGAGTAGAGATTGGTCTGCAACACGTGCCGGAGGAGGAGGCAGGAAAGCACATCTGCTGCGGGGGCTCGGTATCGACCCGGGGTCGTGTCCGTACCTACGGCTGCTGCTCGTGGTACTGGGTGTCGTGCCCATTTGGGAAATGGGCAGTTTTGAGGTACCATTTCCAAAGTGTCTTTGGGAAACTTGTAAATCCCCAAACTTTTAGCATGTTCCTCTACAAGAATGCCAGGTGGGGCTTAGAATAGGAAGCTTTTACAACAGATAGCCAAGCAAGTCTTGGTAGCTTGTGCAAGGTAACAGAATTTCATGGGAAAGGAGAAAACCCAAGGAAATGTGAACTTCTGCCCTCAGCTACTTCCCTGGATGAAAACACCATCCATGGGAAAGGAAAAAAAAGAAAAAAAAAAAAGAAAAAAATGTAAAAGGAGAAGAAAAGAAAGGAAAAAAAAAAAAAAAGAAAAAATTAAAAAAAAAAAAAAATTGACATATTAACAGCAATAATAGCAACAAATTGATATTTTACCCGCAGCGTCCGGGGGACTGGTGGAGTTTTCTTGGGCTGGGAACTGGTTTCTGGCCGGGTGAATGCATCGTTTTTCTCACGAGTAACATCTGGTGAGCGAGCCGTGGATAGTGTTATCCTGCTGGCTCGCTCCCGCTCGTCCTCCTCCTTGCGCTCCTTTATTTTGTCACTTGAACCACAGAATTCATAATCACCTTCGAGAGATTTAAAAGTTCATTAAGAGTGCATGGTTAATTTTTTATTGGGTTCTCCACCTCATTAGACATAGAGGGCAATTTCTGAAATAAGAATGCCAAGGTATTATTAATAGGCCTCATTAAGCAGAATGGATCAAATCTAATCATAGGTGCTACTCCCTGCCCTGTGACACCCAGAGTATCTTTCACATTAAGCCAGACATCACATTGAAGAATAATTAAACTGCTCGGATGCTTAGCTCCATTTGCCGGTATTCGCTTCCCAAAAGCAAGACACTTCTGTAACACAGTTGCATCATGGAAACCAAAGGATATCACGCTGAGACTTGCAGTTAGAGTTCATTTCAATTTATTGCACGTATTGTAGGAAATAACATATTGTTATAGGCCTTAATCACATATCATTTCTCTTTGACCATACTGAGGTTTTCATAAACACTTCTCTTGTTTTTTTCTTTGCTGATAATATGGTTTGCTTGCTATCGTGTCTATATATTCATTAGCCAGTGGAATGACTCCATGAAAAAAAAAAATAAACAGAAGGTTTATATGCATTATAGCATATTATTATGAAAACTGACAATTCACGAAGTCCTCTATTGAGAACAAAAAGATTATTCTCTACACTTATAATTATGCTTTAATGCTCTATAGCTGATTCTCCCTGTATGAATTAGTACCAAAAGAGGCTATGTGCTCAAAAATCAGAGTTGACAAGATGTCTTATTTAGAGGACAGAATTAATCCAAAATAACAAAAGAACTTCAGAAGAGCTCCATGTGAACTGTTTTGAAAAGTCACACTGGAGTACCTCTTTCTTGCCAAATAATTTGATTTCTAGAACTAAGTATCTGGGAATAAAGCCCATTACTGTTTTACTTCAGTTTCTAGTTACAATAAACTTAAAATATTTTCCTCTTTATGACATATTGTACATATTATATTGTACTTAAAAAAAAATATTAAAATGATCTTTGTTGGGTACATTTGCCTTATAAAAGCCTGAAATGTATTTCCTCCCTAATACTGTTCTTGTTAACATTTTGGAAAAAAACTTGAAACCTGTGAACATGAAAATAAACTCTTCGATAATCCAGGTTTACAGAGGTGTCTATTAACTTTATCTTTGATAGATCTCAATGGATGCTTCAATTTTGTAAAACTAAGTCACTTCCAGTTAGTGAAATGGCGTGATTTCACTCCAGGCACTAAAAGTAGAATGTAGGCTTTTCTCATCTAAATGGGTGTTCTATTCAGTAGCTTTACAGTCAGTAATGAAAAAGTTTTGCATACCTGCTTACAAAAAAAACTGGAAGGGAAAACACTGTAGGAAAAAAGGCTCTATGATCATTCTGGAATTTTTAAGGTATTCTTGGAGTAAATTTCTCACAAACCTACTGACACTAAAGACAATTTAACCTATGGTATATCTATCTCAGTTGTCTTTGGCAAAACTACCTTATGCATGTGTACAGCTGCTTGTGTTATCTCCATTTTAGCTGTGTGAATAAATGTTGAAAGTAAGACATCCCAATCAGTGCTGAACTAGAAGAAATTATGTTTTACGTGCTGAAACCTTGTTGATAATCAATTGTTAAAACTTTTCCTTTTTTTTTTTTTTTCTTCATGACAATCTCTCCAAATGAGGTATTTTGTGCTGTGTATGTGCACCACATAGTTCCGGCTGTCATGTCAAAAACAAAAAAAAAATTGCAGAAGTGAAAGAAAGGTATCAGAACAAGGTTGTAAAATAACCTCACTTCTGGTGTTTCTTGGTTGTATTGGGACTGCTTGACTCTGCAATTTTAATGTTTTTTCAAGATTTTCTTGAATCTACTTACAAAGTAAGCCTATCTTTCTCATTTTAATCTTGTTTTCTATTAACCATAGCAATGTATACAGTCAGATTAGATGATTGATCTCTCACCAGATGACTCATACTCAGCACTTAAAGCTGGACAAAAATGGACTGACTTTCCATTATTTCACTTTTTTCTTTGAGACTGATCTCATCTTATTATTGAAACCATATTCCTAACAACCACAGTAGGATTTGTACCTTACTTTTTAGGAGCTGGTTTTGCCTGTGAACATTTTCTTCCAAGAGGATTCTTGATGAAGCTTTTATATTGCACATACTACTGGAGAGAGACATTTTTGGTTTCAGGATGCCCTGTGCTTCTATCTCTTTGGATCTGGAGGGACCTCTTTTTTTCGATGAGCCATCAGTAGCAGCAGTGATTGTCTTTCTGGATGCAGTGTCTGGAAGGGAGCCAGAGGCTGTTGCACTGCTCCTGCCTGTGGTACATTCCTGCTTCTTGCTTCCCACCAGCATTTGTATTCCTGTGCAAAACAGAAAAAAAACAACCATAGATTCTATAACATAGGAACATTTTTATTCTCAGCCCTCTAGTCTTCGTAATTTTTGTTTCCTGCAAAACTGCTCTCAGTCGTATATTTTAAAAATTGTAATTGATACAAATTTTATCATGACTGCCATACAGCTGTACTGCAACAAAATGTTAATGATAGAAATAATCGCAGAGAATACTCTTCATAAGATTAAACTGCCTTTCTAAATAATATATATACACTCTGAGAGGTAATGTGGAAGAAGTCAAAATACCTCTGACAAGAAGGCGTGTTATGTGTCTTTGCTTTATCTCTTATTTACTTGAGAGGAACATTTTAGATGGATTAAACCTGGTCACAATTACAGTTATGGATCCAGTGGTGGCTGTGATGAAAACTGAGGTTCAGGCGGTTTTGGGAGCAGGGTTTTAACCTCTGCAGTGGGAGTGGCTGCCTCAGAAGCATGACCCATCTCCAACATTTCTAGTGCCTTGTTCTATCTCTGTGCAAAGCCACAGCAGGAACCAGCAGCAAAGAGGTCCGTTGTACAAGATAGGCTTTCCCCTGAAACTGTTTTGATGAGAAGGATGTTGCACAGCGGCTACAACTGCAGGACCCTGTCGTGTCAAAAGCGACAGAACTGCTTGGGTAAGCTCTTCACTGTACAAACCTTGAAAGAGGATTCAAGCTGGCCACCCCTACCGCCAGCAAAACCCTAAAAAACAGAAAGTGTGAGCAAATAAACACATAGAACTATCCCTTTTCCAAGGTGCACTTTAGGCAGAGTTTTGAAGGATGAAGAGGTAGAACGGTGAAAAAAAAAAATCAGGAAATTAAATCCAAAGAATTAGGGACAGCATGGAAATGGCATCAGGATCAGCAGGGTGGGGAGAAAGAAGCAGCAGTTTGGAAGTATTTTATGTCCCCTATAACCCACTCAGTGGTGGTCCCTGGTAGGCAGGCACCCCCATGGCCGTGCCCACAGCATGACTCTGCTCTTCCATGTTAATCACATGCATAAATTGCCTATTGACAGTCCTAGTCACAGGCTGACCTGAGACCTAAAGATTTATGTAGATGGAAATGATCAATAGTTATTAAAAAACTCTGAAAGATGGCAACCAAGAGATTTGGGAAGTACAAGGGAAAAAACCACAACCGGTTTCAGACCTAACCATAAGCCCAAACAAGCCAGACAGGGATTGTCCTGTTCTATATTGTGGACATAAAACATTTAATAAATGATCGCTGTTTCATGACAAACACTTTTTAAAAAGTGGCCACATCATAGTTTTCTCTGCTGACTCATTCTGAGAAGCTGCCCCTCTCTAAACACTTATTTCCAGTGTCTTGGTTGAGACAGGGAAGTAGAAGTGTTTTTCTCCATTGATCCAATACATGAGAAAGGGTGAAATGGCACATCTTGTTAGAGACTTTCTCATCTCATAGTCATTAAGTAAAATTAGATCCTGCAGGGTGGTATGGGAAGTTTTCAGTTCAATCTTTAATACACTCACAATAGATGAGAAATATTCTTTGCCACAAAATGATGGTTTCCTACACAATTTAGTGATCTGAATAGCTTTTTGATCATCCTGAATTTCTGAGGAAATCAGAGGCATTAAGGTACAGTATCTAGTGTTTTTCCCTTACCATGCAGATCAGAAAGTTTTTAACATCCCAAGTTTCTTTCTGTAACTGCCTATACAGGGAGAAGGAGTCAACTTCTCAGGGGATCCTCTAGTGAGGAATCCCTAAAGATCAGCATAAATAGAAAAAAAAACAACCCTTTTTTCTAATTAAATTAATTGATATGAACCCCAGCCTAAGCAATTTCACAGCCATACAGAAAATCTGGTCAAAGCAAGGAAGTGCACACAGAGCTCCCCAGTTCTAGACTAGCACCCAAGCTATCCCTCTTCTCCGTGGTATAACTTGTTTTTCTCCTTGCTTTTCACACAATGCCAATATTTGTCTTATCTTTTGTCAAAACTTAGCTCTCTTCTCAGATTAAAACTGTTTTGATGCAAATACTCTCAACAAACTGAATAGACTAAATTCTGTACATACACTGTGTTGGAGCTCATGCATATGGTGGTCTGTTCCTTCATTCTCTGACTGATCCCATACCTGCAGTCACACACTGTGTTTCTACAAATGTTTTATGACATACAGAGCGAAAAAACATTGGGACAGATTAATGGGGTCATGGGCATCAAAGAGTGTTTGTGGGAGGAGGTAGAAACAGGCAGCACAGTAGGAGAAGATGAAGAAAGCAGCAGGTAGCATTAAATAACTGCAGAGCAGCAGAAAAGGAAGTCTTTTCACAAAGGCAGCCAAGATGCTAGAAGGATAGAGGGAAAAAAAAAAAAAAAAAAAAAAAGAAGGGAGCTAAGCCACAGAAAGAACTTGAATGGAAAACAGATTATCTCTTTAAATCATCTTTTAAATTAAAATAGTTTACTGGCCAGCAGAAAGCAGAGAGGAGAAGAAAAGAAAGTGGAAAGGAGAAAAGAGTTTCTGCTCATCGAAGGCAGCATCACAGTAGGAGATAATCTGCCTTCCTATCAAGAAGCAGTCTGTGCAATGAATGTATGTGTTGTGAAGCCAAACGGCTCCTTCACTGAGATTGTCAGACAGCTCACACCACTGTTGTGTCCCCAGGAGAGGCGATTTGCTATGGCTGGGCATTGGTATCCAAAACTACGGCACGAATCATCAGGGTGATGAAAATGGGCTGCAAGGTATCAGAACAAAACAGTGGAGACCAGAGCAAGTGGAGGAGTTGTCTCTAAGTCACATCTCTCTAACATCTTAGAATATGGATCTGAATGAAAGAAGGAAGAGCTGCCTGGAGTATTCACACTCCATTTACTCCTAACTACCAAACTTGCTATTTGTGGATATTGGCTTCCAAGTGTAACTACAGTAACCTTCAAGAACTGAGAATTAATCCCCAGGAATTTTCTTACATGTAGTGCAGAGACAACCTTCCCTTCTATGCTGTGCCCCTTCCTTGCTAAAAGAAATGCCACCAGTGGCATCCTGCCCATAAAGTCTGGGCAATCCCTACAAAGCTGTGGATTGGAGAGAAAGAAAAGGAAAGAAAGGCCTGAGCAAAACCAGGAATGGAGTCTAAAATTAGAAAAAGGTGATGGCTGTTTCTTAGCATTTTATGACAACAGAAGGATGTCAAGAAAGAATTTTAAAAAGCAAGATTCCTTATGAAATTCAGGTATAAAAACACTGCATCCTTACTGCATGAAAAGTGTCTTCCTTAGATCTTGTACTAATATTATAACTAAATCTTAATCCTTATTAGATTCACAGTATGGTGGGGGATTTTTTTTTTTGTAGTTAATTAAGGCAATAAGAAAAGGTGTGCCTTGTTCTTGTCTAACATCAAAGGCAATCAGAATAATAACTGAGCCAATTTGCTAAATTCTTTCTTCTAATTCCCTCTTGAATTAACCTTTCAATTCAAAAGGTACACCCAAGGCACAGTCAATCCCCAGCAAAACACAGCAAAGCAACCAGAGATGGGCTCCAAAGATCAACTCCCTCATCCTCAAAGCAGTTGTCAATTACCTTAACTTACCACTGCAGATGCAAATGAAATTTAGGAAAAAAGGAAAAAGGCAAAGGTACTTGCAGGTAAGATCACAGAGTTTCACTCTGTACATTCTGGATCCATTTTTAATATACTGCGTGGGGAATTAGGACTGTTACTCTCATTAAGACTATCTGGAATTGTATATCTAAATCCCCACGCACCAAACTTGAAATATATATGCCCCTCTGAGAATAACTAGAATTGCAACTGAATGACTAGCAATATATGTTTTTTCTATTATCCCAGCTGAAGAAAGGCTTTAAAACTAATGAACAAAGACATGCAAGTGTAATGCTTTGGGAGATACAGGAGAACAAAAGTCGAAGAAACAGAAAGCAGAATGACTCTGTTAATAAAATTCAGCAAATATAGATCCTAGTTATAAAAGTTCAGCTGCTTATAGAAGAGAAAGTAAAGGAACAAAATCATAATTACATTCAGAGAAAAGTCATTTTTGCCCTATGCAAGAAAGAAAAAGACAACAGTTCAGTTTTTAAATAATGACTTAGTGAAAACCATATGATATTGGAGTAGTTAAAAATATTCTGTAAAACGAGGGGTAGGTTTTCAAAAGCTCTCTTTGTAAAGAATCCTTGATCTCTGGGTAAAATAAGTATATTGTTTTACTGTAAAGTATCTTTTTACATTTTCCTCCCTCTCCCTTCAGGGGGTTTTGCTAACAGGAAGTGACCCCGCATTACAGCAGGTTAAACTTGCCTTTCCTTGAAACATGGACAATTCAGGCAAACATACCCTTTTCCATTGTTACTTCTTTTTTTTTTTTTTTTTTTTTCCCTTTTCACTTTACAGAGGGATAATGCAGCTTTTCATACTTTCTTATAACACTCTTCCTAGTGTTTCAGTGTGAATTTCTGACGTTTCATGACAAAGTGCTTCTTTGAAACTGTCCAAAGCTCATTTTTAACAGATGCACAGGACTACAAATCCTCCACGACCACCAAGCATGCCTGACAAGAGGTGGCCAGGGAAGGAGACACACAGTGTTGATTCACTGTGTGTCATTAATGAGATCAGACATCACCAGGGTAGGTAGGCTTTACATTATAGACCACCTGCTGGGTTGTTTTGTTTTTGGGTTGTTATTTTTTTTTTTTTTAATTTAATAAAAGCCCGATGCCCTGGGCTGCTGAGCTCTCCCAGACCTCCGTGATGGGAGCTGACACTGCCAATACCCCCATCAGAGAGGAGCAGCAATTAACATTCTTTAAATGTAAGAAACTTTTACCTTCTTCAAGATTCAGACATAGGCATATGTAAGCATAGGTTTTACAGAGCCCACACATGCCTCAAGCAGGCAAACAGCGATCCATAATCCAAACCAAGTCTCCAGCCTCCTGATGACAAAGATTGATGACTC